TTTTTATTTTTTCGCACAGATTAGATCAAACACACAAATCAATTACTTCCCATATACGTTTTACTCACTTTCGACTTCCTTGGCGCTGAGATCTGCCTGCAAATTCAAAAGAGAAACATTTTTTATCGATGAAAAAATACAGGAAAAAAAAAAAAAAATAAAAAGATACTTTTAAAATTAACCACCACGTAAATGTACAAATATTTGAAACCTACTGAAAATTATTCGAATATAAATACGATAAATAATAAATAATTTCTTCCACGTAAAGATTTACATTTACAAAATATAAAGAGAAGAATATTCCAAACAAATTTAAGGATATTTAAGGATATTTTTATGAGGAAAAATTTTTCAAATTCTCAGGTCACACATATCGAGTGATTGGACGAGAAAATCGGCAAGCTCACCATGTTTCTAGTCTAGTCTGGCCAAGATGTTAATCGTACGGAGCGTGAACCAGAAGTGGTATCGGGTGTTACCAAATTTATTCATTTTATTTCTGTAGATGGCGCGGTTGTCAGGACACACGAGAATTAACAGAGAGATCTGGCCGAGGAGGGTTTGGAGAAGGAGGGTGTATCGGCAACACCGCGGTCCAAAAACAGTTCGAGAAGCTTAACGCGGGTTCAAAGCTGCGCTTCCTGCTACGATAAATGGTTTTCAGCCGGTGGCGTACGCGTGTCAGGGCTGCCAGATCTGCGACACGGGTTATAGGCGAAGAGAAACGAAAATATACACACCTGATGGCCTTCGATTCCGTGCACCTATCGTGCACGGCCCTTAAACTCGGCCAATTTCCGCATTTCTATTTCTTATCAAATTGAAATTGAATCGTTTTCTCTCGATCGAGTTGAAATTGACCTCATTTGGTGAAATTTTATTCGGGTCAATCCGTGAGTTACTAAGTTTTTACAAAGTATTTTATCATATGGTGAAATTTTCAAAACTTATTAAATCATTCGATATTTATGAATTTATAAGCGATGAGAAACGAAATATATACACATCTTAAATTCGATTCTTGTTTTCGTATTTTTTTATCTTTTTTATCACGTTGAAATTGGTCCATTTGTACGATCGAATTGTTAGCGGAATTCTGAGTAATATGAATATATTTGTAGTACGGTGAAATTTTAGAAATTCGTTATTTCTAATGGGATATATTACGTTATATAACAATGGTAAAGAAGTATTGAAATGAAGAGGAAGAAGAATGGAATGTCCTATTTAAAATGATACACTCGAATATCATGGAAATTAATGATATTGGGAAATATTTTAGATAAAAATTTGAATATTTAGAAGATTTAGAAATATGAACTCTAACATTTGATTCTTTGTAAGCGAGTTATGTAATTAAAAAATTCCTTTATTATCCAAATTTCCAAAGTTGGCAAATCAAGTAAATAATTGATTTATCAATTAAAAATTTTAGACAAGAAAGAGATTCTTGAATGGTTAATTTCCATTTTCCAGAAAATATGACTTACATTGGTTTCCATTGGCTTCTGAATTCTTCATCTAGAAAACTTACTTCACGAGAAACTACAAATTCATCATTTGTGTCAACGAAAAATTCCCTTTTAACCATTCAAATAATTTAATTTTTCTCCAAATATTTTTCAATATCGTTCATAGATTTCGAGATATTCTAGTTCAAAGCAGGACACTCTGTATACGTAAAAATAAATTTTATGCATCATACGTATATTACCTTGTCAATACACTTACTATTAACAATATCAATAAGTAAAGGTTCCCGGTGTTATAAATTTTCTTCCACAATTACTTTCAACTGTTTAACAATCCATTTGATATAAACACTGAGAAGCCAAATTGGTCAAATTCCATTTCTTTCTTTCTTTTTCTTTTTTTTTTTTTTTTTGAAAATTCTTTCAGAATTCAATCTCATTTATATCCTTTTATATTCAAACATTAAATCAACAACGATGAGATTAATCAATTTAGCCTCTTAGATCCACCAAGTTTTCGTTGTTATCAGATACAATTACGATTCGAATTAAATAAAAAAAACTGGTAAAATGACACAGAATCCCATACTCAACTTAACCTTTCGTTCAAAATTAAAATAAACTTTATTGTTTACCAAAAAAAAAAAAAAAAAAAAAAAAGACACTGCATTATATAAAAATTTGTAAGCTACATCTTTCCCTCCACGGTGTCCTTAGGAACGCGTGGAATTTATTTCACGTCTTATATTCATATATATATATATACATACATGAATATAAATATATATATATATAACTCGGTAAGAGGTTAAGCGTGCGTAGACTACGCTGCACGCGTGGCCAATTGATGACTAAACTAGGGAGTTTATATTTAAATCGGCTCGGGGAGCGCGTTTCGCGTTTTAAAAAAAAAATTATAGGTTTACAAATTCGTTCGTGTGTGTGTATATGTGTATGCATGTATGTGTGTGCGTGTGTGTACGTATGTGCGTGTATATATATGTGTATATATGTGTTTTTTATTTTTTTCCAGACGTTGCTGCTTTTTCATATTTCGTTCCATCGAGAGAGAGAGAGAGGGGAGAAGGAGAAGGAGAGGGGGAAGAGGGGTGAGAAAAAAAAAAAAAAAACGGGACAACTCGGCCGTCCCCGAAAAATCATTTCTTTCGACGTCCGAAAATCGTGCGGAACAGCTTCCTCGTTCTGCTCAGGATACCCTTCTTCTTCAATTCCTCGGATTGCGTCTCGTTGTGAGTAAGACTCTTCGTCTTCCCGGACGGGCGTTGCTCCACGTCTGGGGGCAGGGGAGAGGAAGTGATATCCTCGATGGCCACCTCCTCCAAAGAGGAGTTCTTTGGGAACGGCGTCGAGGAACCGACGAAGGACGATGCCAGCCCGTCGTAAGCGAAGTCGCAAACGTCCGTCCTGCTCTCGGGGATCGATTCAACGTATTTCTGATCCTGGTCGTCGATACTCTCTATGGTCCTTATGAATTGCTCCTCGGACTCCTCCCCACCCTCCATCTTCTCCTTGTTCACGGCCGGCTCGGGCTCCTCGTTCTCCGGCTCCTTGCCCCGCTCCCCCATCCTAGACTCGAGTTCCTCGGTCATTCGATATATTAGGCTGGTGGACACCCTCGTCGCCTCGGAACTGTCGGTCACCTTCTCAAGGCGGGCGCAGGTCGGGTCCGCCGCCATCTCGAGCACCGCGTCGTGGATTATCTGGTGCACGTCGCCCTGGCCCTGGGTCGAATGCGTCTCCACGGGAGTGGCGGGCTCCGTGTATATGATATTGTCGATGTTGTGCACGATGTGTTTCACCTGGGTCCACAAATTGTATTAATTGGGGATTGTTGAGGAATAAAAGGAAGGATGAAAGGGTGGAAGATTGGATGGTTGAGAATCTATTTTTGAGAACTCTAATAATTTAGCATTAATAATTTGGATATTAATAATTTATCATTAATTTTTTTTTTAGAAATGCAATAATGGATCTGACGTATGTATATATATAATTTATCATGGATCTTTTTTTTATAATTAGGGCAGTTAATGATAATGATTTTGATTAGATTTATTTATATTTTGATTTTTA